CAGTTCACCGTGGCAAAGATCATCGGCCACGGAGCGATGCCTCGTCATTCTAGAACCGTCGACGTCGACGTCGACGAGTGGCTAGGAGCGTGATGAAGCAGCTGTATAGATTTAAAGCCCTAATCGGAACGTGCAGGCGCGCACAGTGTCCGAGCCAATGCCGATCCCCTTCCTCGTTACTGCGCTTCCCTGCGCGTCCCTGCGCGTCCCTGCGCGTCTCGGTGCATATCAATCGGATGCGGTTCGACGTCGATCCGCTGCCGAGAGAGTGCCGGAAGATCGGAATCCTATCGGAGCTGGCGATGCTTCAAAAGAGCTTCGGAGAATCTCGTTCGGGCGAAACGTGCTCGATAGAGAGCCGAGCCGCTTTGTCGCCGAGAACTTGTTAGATTCATCGTTCTATTCGCATCGGAGCCTAAAGCCGCGTTCTCGCCGAATCTGCCACGCAGCGCGTACCTCGGTTCGCCGTCGGCAGAGGCTGATGACCCGAAGCGGGCGTGCGCTCGCTGCTTAACGCATCTCGCGCAATCGGGTTAAACGCGGTAAAAGCAGTCTCTCTTTGCTGTTTGGCATCGCGTCAGCGAGGCCAGCCCGTTCGATACCGGTGAAACGGGCCGAATTCGTCGGAACACCAACACCGTCGACCTTTGTCGCCGAATCAGCCGCGAGGAAACTTCCAGAAAATCGCTCTCTACAGTAATGTCTCTCTAATTGACGCCCAGATTGCGCACAAAAATGGACAATTTGGGAAGAGGAGATACGATTGTTCGAGCCTTGCGGTTTATTTTTATAGTTATAAATTGTTCACAATTATAAAAACGAGCCGCGAGGCTCGAACAATCGTGTCTCCTCTTCCCAAATTATGCATTTTAGTGGACAATCGGAGCGTCGGTAAGGGAGACATTACTGTATATCGGCCAAGAACGAGAGAGGCTCGATCCGATGGAACAGAGTTCGTTTAATAGCTCTAAATTTTAAGTTTCATTCTAATGTTAATTTTAATTTTATTTATATATACGGGCAAGAACACATTTTTTACTACGTAGAGCTAAAAGTTAATATTAACGTGTTAAATCTGCTAGGACGGTCAATATGACCAGTCACGCATTTTATATTTCAAAATCGTTGAAATCCTAAAGACTCTTCCGTAGGAAACGATCGAATAAATCTCTTGATTCAAGTATTCGTTGCAATAAAGATCGTGTAAAGCCTAAATAAATTCAGTCGTATCATTCTTTACAAAGCGACACACATTCGTCGGTTTTAATGTGCTCGGCAGGTTTAGCGTTAATATAGTACAGACTCGGCGAATCGGCGGTGTTTAGGTGAACAGTTCGTGCGAACCGATTTTCAATTTTCCGACGTTGTCTGCAAACGCGTCTATTTTTTATCGCCGTTATCAACGATTCGAAGTACAGTAACGTCTCCCTAACTGACGCTCAGATTGTGCGAAGAAATGGACAATTCGAGTCTTGCGTCTCGTTTTTATAATTGTTGAGAATCGGTAATTATAAAAACGAGGCGCAAGACTCAAATTAGTCGTATCTCCTCTTCCCAAATTGTCCACTTTTCTCCACAATCCGAGCGTCGGTAAGAGAGACATTACTGTAACCTGTAAAAAGCGTCGGCGCGTCGGATCTCGACGAGTTCGACCAACAACCGAGCGAAACAGAGTTATCTCCGACTGTTTTTAAATCCTCGAGGACGGATAGATCCACGTGTCGCTGAAAAGACGCGGACGGAGGTGCGACGATAGACGGCTTCTTCCACGCTGCTACCGAGACGCCGACGCTCTTGAAAAGTCCTCGACGAGCGCGCGGTCACGAGCGCACGGTCCGACGACGCGAAGGTCGCGGTCTGCTCGTTCGTAAAACGGTAAACATGAACTCGCGGGTCGTAGATCGTTTTTCTGCGATCGTGTTCCGCCGGCAAAAAAATCCGGCCTGTCACCTGACGGCGAGAACCGTGTCCGCGCGCGTTCGATTCTACTCGGAGCTACTTTTAGCCGCGCGTGGGACCGTGTCGGCCGGAGAACGAAGGTCGATCGAGCGTCGCGGAAGTACCATAACTCGCGGATCGGAAATCGCGGCAGAGTCGCGCGGTTGATCGTTCGCCGCGGCAGAGACGCGCGGTCGCCGGGTTTCGACTGCGAATTTGTTTCGGGTCCAAGTTCCGAGGATTCGGGCGGGCCGACTCGGGCCGGCCGGGTGACGGCGATTCGCGAGGAAATGGCAGCATTCCAGTGGCAATAATATCGCGTTCGCAGTTCTATTTTGCGCGGCGATCGGCGGAGACCGATGGCAGTGGCCGAAATCAGGGGATGCTTCGCGGTTCCGGGGCAAATTGCTTCGCCTGACCTTGACCTCCTCTTCCGCCGACTTCTCCGCCTACCCTTTCTCTTCCTCCCTCTCTCTCTTTCTCATGCACCAGCTCCCGGGAAGAGGACAAGCTGCTCGGAAATCTCGCGCGAGTCTGTTACGTCGAAGCGCGACGTTTCCCGGAATTTCGGACGAATTTACGCGACTTGCAAATTCGATCGAAGCGAGAGGCCGAACGCGGTAAATTCTTCCACGTTGTTCCTAAAAGACAAAAGCGGAGAACTCGGGAAGAGGAGACGCGATCATCGAATGTATCGCGGCTCGCTTTTTACGGCCGCCGATCGTCGACAACTGTGAAAACGAGCGTCTCTTCCCGAGTTGTCCATTTCCGTTTCCAAGCCGAGGGACGAATTCGGCGGAATTTACCGCAGCCGGAACCGAGAGATCGCGGATTCGCTCCGGGATTCGTTCGGAGAGGCGTTGTACTCGTTTCGTAATCGTTACGGAATACTCGGCTGGTCGACGAAACTCGATAGGCAAATCATGGTAATTAATTCCGCGGCGAGTCTACCGATCAAAGGCGAAGCAGGATGTTATCGCGCCGCTTGCTCAGACTCATTAGCAAGTTTGCTCTCTCGACGCGATCCGCCGGACAAACAAACGGAACGCGCGCGGAACGTACGCGGAACGACGATAAAGCCGCGAAAACGATCCACGAGGAGAACCGCTTCTTCGGCCGAGACTTCTAGCGCGAAAAATCGAGCCGCGACGAGGCGATACTAATTTTAACCGGGATTATCGCTGCGTCGCGCACGATCCGACGAGATATTAGCTCCGGTCATAAATTACTTCCGCTCTTTTTATCGGACGTTTATTTCGCTCGCTTCTTTATTTACTTCTTCGGTGTTTTTTCTTTTTCTATTCTATTCGACGCGCGAGCCGTCGTCTATTTAGCGAAAGCGAAAACTCGTTTGCCTCGGTGACTCATAGCGGGCAGATAGGAACAATGCATTCCGCCCAGCCGCATCGGACGATGTTTATGGCTCGACCTAGTACTGTGAATTCTCCCCAATTTACCTTCGGCTTGTAAACAAAAATGGATAATTCGAGAAGGCGAGGCGCGATTACTCGAGCCTCTCGGCTCACTTTTGTAACGGCCGATCGTCAACAATTATAAAACCGAGGCGCGAGGCTCGAACAATCGCTTCTCCTTTTCCAAAATTGTCTCAATTGTCCAATTGTTTGCTAGATTAAATCGTTTTCTGAAGGAAAATTCGGGAGAATTTACTGTATAAATTGTCTTTTCTTTTCTTAGGAATTATTAACAATCGCTTCTAATCACCGTAACTGTGAAGAAAATGCCACGGCAAGATCCATGTACAGGGTGTGTTCGGATAATAACGGATTTAGCGAAGCTGTATTTCCGAATTATTTATTAAATTATTACGAATTTTCGCGTTCCTAGGAAAGAAAGCATGCGTGACAATTGAAAATCGGACAAAAAGAGCGATCGTCTCGAAACGTGAAATTTTCTTCGCGGTAATCGGAGGACGCTCGAACTTCTTCCGGCTGGAAGAGTTCTTCCGGTGGCGTATTCTTCGATTTCGAATCGAGCGGATCGATCGATCAGGATTTCTCTTGTCGGAAAGAGACTACGGCCCCGCTCGATTACCGAATCGCGATTTCATTCGGCGATATCGCGCCCCGATCGACATCGAAACGAACGAATCGTTCGAATTCGACCACCGCGATCGAACCATCGCGGGGTCCATTCCCTTTAATCTCGGCGAAGATCCGTGCGCGCTAGATCGTGACACGCGTCGAAAATCTGTTATCGGTCGACGCGTCGCGTCGGCCTCGGAGAGTTCCATCGACGTCCGGGGATCGATAGAATAGAATCGGCAAGCGTGTCGACCTTTCGCGTTTCAACGGAGCATGAAACTCCGCCCGGTTCGATCCCGGACCGCTCAAGGCCCGCGCAAGTTTGCGAACCATGCGTGTCAACTTTCTCGGCGCGGCGGTTCGCTCCGCGTTCGCTCGTGCGACAACTCGCGCGTGCAACAGTCGCCGATAATGCTTTCGCCGTGTCGCGTCGCGTTCGCCGGACGAGTATGCTAATTACTTTTCCAGATAAGCGCCGATCGGCGCGAGAGAAGAAGACGCAACAACGCCGCTGAAAAGCCGCGGTCGAGCGACGATCTCGCGAGCGAGCGACCACCGGTTGGCTCGAAATTTTAGGATCCGCTCGAGGAACATCCGGTCAACGGAGAACGCGAGCTGCGGCGAAGTTGTCAAGGTTATCGATTCCGATCTGAAAACTAGCCGAGACGGTGCGACGGCCTTAGAATCGTTGCGATCGCTATCGGAGCTACCCTCGGAACCTTGGTCCCTCGAGGTCTTTGCTCGATCGATTCCCCGTCTCTGTCTGTCTAGCCCTCGAAAACCGAGCTGCCGGAACAGTTCTCCTGGAAACCGAACGAAAAAAACGAGTCGGAACGGAAGACGAGCCTCGTGCCGATGTGCCAGCACTCGCGTTCTCTACCTGCCGCACTCTCCGACTCTCTGCCTCCGTCTATCTCTCGTCTTGCGCTTCTCCGTTTCTCTCTCTCTCTCTCTCTCTTTCTCTCTCTCTCTCTCTCTCTCTCTCTCTCTCTTTTCGTCGCCGAGCCCTCTCTCACTCACCGAAATCGATGAACTGTTTTATCGAAAGCGGCGAGGGGTTGAACTGCGAGTAAAAGTCCAGCATCTTGGTGATGTTCCCTAGACACTTCGGCGTGAGCTTCATTTCGCCGTGCGTCCTCGTAACACATGAACCCTTCTCTGGTCACCGACTCGGTCTCTCTTCGTTGATTTAACGAAACGGAGCGGTATCGTCGCCGCCTCCGATTGTTATTTATCTTTTTTTTCGGTCGGCCTCGCGCCCCTCTGGAACACTGCCGGAAAAGCCGTTCTCGGGGGAGGGGGAGCCCTCCGTGGAAAATTCAGCCGCGGACAGCAGGTGAAATAGCGCGAGAATTTGTTGTCGTGTAGTACACCGACACGAGGATAGGAGACACCTCCGGTCGCGTTGGTTCGTGGCAAGGCTAGACACGATTACTGGCGATTCAAGAAAGGGATCCCGTATATGTTCTCTCTGTTCGAACGCGCGGCTGCGTAGCTACGCGCGGAACAACAAAGTGGGGTCGAACGCGAAGCCGACGCGCCACATTCGAAATATCCGAGCAGATCGGACCGACGCGATGACGCAGTTATCGTGGAGATTTTCGAACGAACGATTTCTCGCGATCGTCCGAAACCAGCCGGGATAATTTTGGTCTCGTCGGTGAGAGCTCGATGCGCGAGCGGTCCTGTCGAGCTCCGAAATTGCTTGAAAAATGTCACGCGAGAATACCGTCGCGTTACTGACACTTTGCAAATATTTTACAGGATCGAAGTGACGTGGAACTGTTGCGTAACACCCCTCGGACCGGTGGAGCCATCCACCTACGATGCGATCGCCATGCAATCTCGATGCAATGTACGATGCAACCTTGGATTGCCAGTAATTTATCTATCGTTAAATGTATTCTGCGTGCTTCATTTTACAGTGTATATTGAATCAATTTTTTTACAAAGTATATTAATCGTTGTTACCCTTAAATCACCCCTTTCCTCATTTTACAAGCAGAAAGACAGGAATAATTTGGTGAGAGTATTATTCGTGAGAGTATCTTTGCAAGGAAATAAGTGGTTCTCTCGTTTATGATTATTTAGAGTCTATAAGTTCTAAGAAATAATTAATGTCAGTAATTTAAATCCAAAGTCTAAAGTCTGTCGAAAAGAAGATTAATTTAAACTGATCTTGTATTTAAAAATTAACAATAAATTGAACTTTTGTCTACATCCTTGGAAAAAGATTATGTAACCAATATTGGATGGATCGAATATTTATAAGAAAGAATAGAAGATATAATTTCTAGATCTCGAAAAATTTCGCGACCAGTGACGGCATCCGTGGCAGAACGCTGAAACTTCTCGTATCGTTACAAATTACATCACTCGGATGAGATATGGGAGTAGACTACGCACCCAACGTATTTTCACAGACGAGGTATAGAGATAAACCAAATATTTATGCTGCAATCTTAAGCTGTTCGCTAGCTGATGCCTTCCTCTTTTCCCTAAACTCGTCCACATTCATTTATGATCGCGATTATAGAAATTATATAGCACAATATGAAGTTTAAAACTAATCGTCTACTCTTGAAAATTCAAAAACAAGCGCCATTTCTGACAAGTGGCGCCTCTGGTGGAAGAACAACGAAGCTACTTTCGAGGTCCGTACAGCGCCAATTTGTCCAGTGGCAAAACGCTCAAACTGTTAGCCAAATTCGACCGCCGGTAATTTTGGCTAGCAGTTTGAGCGTTTTGCCACTGCATCAATTGGCGCTGTACGGACCTCGAAAGCAACTTCGTTGTTCTTCCGCCAGAGGCGCCACCGTTGGCTACATCTGTTGAATGCAGGCTCGCTAAGAGACAATAATTATGGCAAAATTGGGGAATAAGAAACTAAACCAACGACACGAAACTGTTCCAGAAAATCTGCAGCATCGATTTCGTGTAAGAACACCAAAAGGCAACGACGCAAGTTATAATTAATTACAATAATAGTTAATCGAACTTCTGAAAGCAATTAATTGTGTTTCGCAATATTGCAATTCGATTTTGTATCGAATATGAACACCGTAGATTCTCCAGAACAATCCTGTATCCTTGGAATAGCGTTTCATGCCCTAATTTTGCAACAATTAATGTTTTTAGGCAACTCTGATATCTGTATATGTGGCGCCTCTCGCGGAGAAAACATGAAGCTACTTTCGGCGTTCGTACAGCGCCAATTTGTGCAGTGGCAAAACGCTCAAACTGTTAGCCAAATTCGACCGTCGATAATTTTAGCTAGCAGTTTGAGCGTTTTGCCACAGGACAAATTGGCTCTGTACGGACCTCGAAAGTAGCTTCGCTGTTCTTCCGCTAGAGGCGCCACCATTGGCTACATCTGTTGAATGCAGGCTCGCTAAGAAACAATAATTATGGCAAAATTGGGGAATAAGAAACTAAACCAACGACACGAAACTGTTCCAGAAAATCTGCAGCATCGATTTCGTGTAAGAACACCAAAAGGCAACGACGCAAGTTATAATTAATTACAATAATAGTTAATCGAACTTCGGAAAGCAATTAATTGTGTTTCGCAATATTGCCATTTGATTTTGTATCGAATATAGGCACAGTAGATTCTCCGGAACAATTCTGTGTCCTTGGAATAGCGTTTCATGCCCGAATTTTGCAATAATTAATGTTTTTAGGCAACTTTGATATCTATATATGTAGCGCCTCTCGCGGTAGAATAGCGAAGCTACTTTCGAGGTCCGTACAGCGCCAATTAGTCCAGTGGCGAAACGCTCAAACTGCTAGCCAAAATTATCGACGGTCGAATTTGGCTAACAGTTTGAGCGTTTTGCCACTGGACAAATTGGCGCTGTACGGACCTCGAAAGTAGCTTCGTCGTTCCTCCGCCAGAGGCGCCACCATTGACTACATCCGATGAATGCAGAATCGCTGAAAAACAGTAATTATGGCAAAATTGTGGCGTAAAAATCTAAATCAAAGGGATATGCAGTTATATAAATACACAAAACACACAATTATACAAATAAAGCGTAATTCTAGATCGATGCAAGTAAAATAATCATTGCGCTTTCAAAGCATTTAAAAATTTGAACCTATCGACGTACGACTTTGTATAATTCGTTCATTCGTTTCGTACCTTCGCAGTATAAATCTAATCGATCTAAAACAATCTCTCGTTCGACTATTCGTTAGAACATTCTCTTAAATATTAAACCTCGAGTCTGCGCACTTAATAAACCAACGAACGCGATCACGTTCGAGTATTTAATGTTACAACGGCGCGTATAATTCGATATACTTGAAATTCAATTTTCACGAATTATGCTATCCACCATTTTGAATATACACGTTCCGTAAATCTAGTTGAAATTACACGGTAGAAAGCGTCGCTATTTTCCCCGTCGAAATACAATACACTAATTGAAACAAATATGCTGTATATACTGTAACTCGGTTTCAGTTTCCAGCAACCGCGACCGCATCCGTGGTTTATCTTCCAAGCACCGTTCACGGGAGAAGACTCGACGGCGACATCCGCGAGGATTAAGACGCGGTTGGATTTTCACCGCGAACGACACAGCCCGCAGAATTCGTGGAATTCTGCAGAAAGCGGTTATTTTTTCGGGACCCGATCGAATCGCGCGCCGTTCGATATTCACGTGCCACCGTGGGCGCGACAACCCTGACCACGCGAATCTCGGAGGCTTCCTCGGTCCTGCGGGGTAAGTCCTCGCAATGCGAAATACGTTCACGGACCATCGGTCCGATTGTTCGCGAAAATATTACGCCGCGCGAACCCGGCTCGCGGCCGTTTCCGAAACTTTAGCTTCCAGCTTTTCGTGCTGGTTCGTGTTTATCTAAAGTTTCCGCGCGCGCTCTTTCCGGGCGTGCTCTGAAGCTTGATCAAACAGCAAACCGGGGGAAAAAGTACGTTCCACGCGAATTATTTCTTCGTTCTTCCGGTTGATTCGTTCGTACGATCGAACAAAGCGAACGCAAAACCGGAACTCGGTTGATCAAGCTGCAAAGAAAATAGCACGATTAGATTTATAATCGTAGTAACGAACATCAAACGTTCGTTCGATTAGATCATTCTTGACGCGTTCCGATGTCCAGATTAAATTAAAAATCCAGTTTAGAACGTTTCTACGTCGAAGTCCGCGAGTTTTGTAACGTTTCGTACGGCCGTGTCGTGTCCACTAAAACGATGCAACGGCTGCAGCGGAAGTCGGTGCTCGTCTATCGCTATCGACATTTTCTTTTCCTGGTATCACCACGAGGTTCTCGTTAAAGAACTTTTGATACGCGCGGTTCTACACTGGCTTCGTTATATTCCGTATTGTTACAGCCGCAAACGGGTCTCCGTTTACAAAACCACCAGCGAAATTTTCGTTTAAGTTTCTGAATTTTACTGAAAACCGTGTGCGATTCCATTCGCACAGTGAAACGTCTATTTCGCTAAATTAACGCGCTAGCTGATAGAGCCATTGTCTGTCTTTCTGACAAAGAAAAATCGTTCTCGCACGTCATCCTTAATTATTTCAGCTTCATCAATTTTCCACCGATTTATTATACCTGCTCTATTTGCTGCCCTTACTTGGAACAGGGTGAAGTAAAGGGTAAAGTAGTTTTCATACGCTCAAAATAAACGGAGATATTTGCTAAGCGAGATAAGATAAATGCTGTGTGCACCAGCACTTTATAGGGCTTTTGTGCTCGATGCTTTTATGTTCGTACTTAATTTTACAATGGACTAGAGTAACGGAAGAATTTCTTTCTATTTACTAGAAGATTTCTTAGGATAAAAATAACATAAAAATATTGTCAACTTTTATGGATACACATGGTTTCTTGGAAATGATTTGGAAATTCGTGCACGCCATGAATGCGCGAAGATCCGCGGTCTACTAATAATCGATTTAAAGAAGAAAATAAGAAGCGTTCCGAAGGGCTTTTTCTTTAATGAGGGCACCTTGTATCGGGGTCGTCCACCTTTTAAATGGTCTATGTATTTAGGTTCCACCGTTATCCGAAGTGTCTACCAGCCAGATAACGTATACGAACACGAACGAATCAGCATCGAACAGCGGCCTGTTTGCACGCGTGTGGATGCATTGACACAGACGATCGTGCGCGAAATTGCATAACGTTCCTCGTCCACCGCAGCACGTTCGCCCCTAACGATCCATAATCGTTCTTCTCTTTCCCTCGGACGGAAGGGACTTGTAGTAAGCGATAGTCGCGTAAACTCGAAAGCAATAACACGAACCAGAATTGCCGGTTCTCTCTTCTTTCCTTTTTCTTTTCTTTTTTACGAGAATATAACGACCCTCCGTCGACAAATTGCTAGGATCAAGTACAACTTCTTTTTTCTGTTGACACCGCCCTATCCGATCAATTTATCCCTTCATTTTCACCCCGAGATGAATTCAT